ACAGTTAAACTAAACCCACATTTCGAAGTGTTATCACCCATATAAAGTACAATAAAATTCAGATTTAATCAGAATCAGTTGCTCAAAAATAGGAATTAAAGTATTATTCATAATTCTCATGATTACATTACCTGTCTGGAACGGTATAAACTCCTGAGGCTTAAGCAAACTTCCATCTTCCGCTAGGAATCTTTGTGGTCTAAATACTTCAGGGTCTTCCCAAACATCTGGATCCATATGCAGAGCCCACTGCAATGGAATCACCATAGCACCTTTGGGAATTCTGTAGTTCCCTATAAAAGTGTCCTGAAAAGAAAGAGACTTTATATTTCCCTTGAGAAAACTTCACAGTAGTTTTCTACCTCTAAACAGTTCTTCAAGTTTTCGATTCGACGGTATAGTCGATGTGTTAGTGTTCCCTTGCGATAAGTCGCGAAGTTATTGCCAAACATCAGAGTTGAATATTTTGAAACCAAGCTAAGATACTTTTTCCAGTTATGAAATATCCACTAGGAATAAGGGTTCAGAAAATGTAGAAAATATTCTAGGTTGTTAACGGAAAATTCTGAAAGTAGTTTTCAATAAAAATATGCATACTTGGAGGCATCCGTGGGGGATTCCGACGGGCACTATCGATCGAATGCGCTGCGTCTCGCAAATGGCAGCCATCAAGTGTGGCAGTCTGGAACCGTCCACCTCGCCATCCTCAGGGTACACTGATAGAATCTCCTTCCGAACTATTTCCTGTAATAATAATGTGTTTTATAATCATGAGATTAAAGTTTTAAGTAGCTGAAAGTTTTAAGTAAAGTTGTAATCACGTTTGTTCTGCAGCGCTTTTGACTAGTCGTGTTATCAACCCCAATTTTACGAAATCAAACATCCCAAATAAATATTCTTTGCTAAATTCCAATTGAATAAATTGTAAAAAAATGGCTTTTTTACACTTCATCATAAATTATGTGTAATGCACATAAATTATGTGCATTAAGCTTCACGCATATGTGCCTGGTGCCTGTACATTCAAGTATGTACAGTCACCTTAGCTTAATAAAGACTTGAAGTGCCTTTCAGCTTTGTAAAGCGTGAACATTTCGCGTCGTCAATCGTAGTGATTGACATTTTGATTACAAACCCAACCCTTGCTCACACAAATCATTATGGACATTAACAGAATGGACAAGACGAATGTATATATAATAACAAGTATATATAATATTGATATGACTTCTGTATTGGTGTGCTACAATATTTCTATACAGCAACTTGGTAGAAAATATATTTCGAATATTACCTGTTCTTCAGGATAAAGGGCCATATACAGCAAAAACCAGGACAGCGTCACCGATGTAGTATCAAGACCAGCTCCAAACATATCAGCCAGAAGATACAACATTTGTTCATCCGTCATGTACTTAGCTCCTTCATCTCCACTCTCATACCTTCTCTTCTGTTCTAGAAGGAAATTATCAAGGATGCACTCCCCATCCGTTGGTATCAGAATATTCGGATCGAAGTAATGTTCTTCGTGTTCGGACGCGTGTTTGCTGTACTTGATACATTTAATATGGCCGTCTGGGTGTTCGTTAAACAAGTTTTCGTGAAGGGAATATGCTGCTTCTTTCACTGGTGCTAATCCTAAAACTTTTCGTCGCCGATCGATGATGCTCGCGTACAGTCTGTGAGTTTGAGCTTGACCGCGTGTTAAAACTTCAATTGTTTTTCTTGTTGATGCGGAAATGAACCTAAAATAAACCTTTATTGTAGGTACTAAAGGTACAAAATGCACAAAATTGGTAAATTGTAATAGCACATCTTGTTTGCAAAAAGTGCCGAAACTCATATGCGACTATTATTTAATTTTTGAGGAAGACCAAAACGATATTAAATACTCCACGCACTTTGGACGAATAGATATGAAGTATCTGTCTGTCTACATCAGAGACTGTTTAATAATAATGTCTAGACATACATTTAGCTTCAAGATTAGATTAAAAGTTATTTATAATAATAAATCGATTCGGTGAAAACCCAAATATGTTTGATGCTTACCTAATAAAGGGCAAAAAGTTAACAACACCAGCCACCCCCATTTCGTGACACCCCTCCTCTTGGATCTGTCTAAACCAATTCCAGGTTTTATCGTCAGGGGGGAACTTCGAACCGAAGATAATTTCGTTCACAACATTTCCTAAAGAATTCGTCAGCATGTGACTCAAATCCATTGGGCTCCCTTGAGACTTTTCGACGTTCTAAAGAATGATAAAGGATATAAAATAGTTGAGTGTGTCCATGTTTTTCTGTTTAAATTCATTCTTATAGAAATACAAGCTTATTACTTAATATCTTAAATTATTATTTATTATTTATAACAAATAAAACTATAAATTTGAAGTCAACTTGTAAACAAATGCCCATGTTCAAATAAAAAAATTGCGACCATTTGGTAGGTGACACATTTAGCTAACATATTAATCAAGACATTTGGCGAACCGATTTTATAAAAATGAACTTTGTTTCAGTCGCAACAGAGTCTATTTTCATAGAAGCTAGGATTTCGTTCCCAAAACTTAGGATCAATATTAGGTAGGTAGTAAGTATAGAATACGAATCATACTTCTAAAAGTTCGTAGACACCCGAAGCTATCCGTTTTTCCAACTTTTCCCTCGACACGCTATGCTTACTCATACCAAAACTTTTCAGCCACATCGTTATTAACTTTCTCTGGTCCTTCCACAGACTGCCTTCAGCGCAAATAATACCTTTAAAAAGAAAATTATAATTATATTCGACAAACAATAAAGAAATACTGAAGACAAATAAGGAAGGATTGTATACCTATATCATAATCATGTATGCGGGTATAGTTTCAAACACTATGCTTCTGTTGAATTCGGCTCGGGAATCGAACCCCATAATTTACACGTCCAATAAGTCAGTGCTTTTCAAAATAGTTTATTAAAAAAAATTGCTCTTACCATTTCCATGCATAATACCGTGCGTCAAATACAACGGCGCTCGACCCGAAAAGTTGTCCTTAGCAAAGGCATCTCTTATCAGTTTGTGATCAGATAAAACTACAGCATACACGCTGCCCATACCAATGCCATACATCGGTCCATATTGCTTGGATAATTTAGTCAAAGTCAAATGCGGCTGATGACGGTCCAAGAAAGGCAAGTAACCAACAATCGGTAAACCCCAAGGCCCAGGAGGTAAGTTCTGCCATTCCTTTATTTTTTTAAAAATCCAAAATCCCGCGACGAATGTTACTAGCCATAAAAAGAAAAAATCCATTCCGATCTAAAACAAAAGATGCGCATATGTTACCCTATTATACAGTAGACGAAAGAATTTGAAAAAAGAACGACGGAGAATATTAGACAGGCCACTTTCAAATAAATGTTAAAAAAAAAAAATGTCTGGCTGCAAAGGCTCTTTGTCTCTGGTCTTTGTTCTCCGAGACGTCTAAGATTATGTTAGGGTTAGGTATAGAAATGTCTACCGTCTAGCTTTTTTGCAACAACAATATTTACGAGCTGTCTAAAGCTTGTCGACTTTGTTTTGTATAGCGATCGTCTGAAAATGATAACTAGTTAGAAAATAAATATTATACCTTGGAGTCTTTACAAAAAAAAAACACTCCTAAAATCTAAGTGTCGTTCAGTTTCAGGATGGTTTGTAGATAAATATTTTATTACAATAAATTTTTGACCGCATTTATTCGGTCTTATTAATATTTAACCAATCGACGAGTTGTTCCAAATATTGTTTTTTGTTTTAATAAAGATACCATAAGGTATGAAATGATAATAATATATTATAATATTGACAGCTTCGTACATAACCATGGTATGAATAAATGTATAAGACGGTACTGCAACGTACACTGAAATGTGTTACTTCAACATAAGCAAATAATCGAATAGTGCTGGTGTACAGTTTCGCACAATATCTAGCTCAAACTTGTCCAATGTTCTTAAAGTTACGTAAATTTTATAATTATTGTATATTAAGTAATTTGCAAAAAAACTTAATTAACACCTTGAACGCTATTGGGGACAATGTATGGGCCACGACAGCGGAGGACGTTTCAACAGTTTTCTGTCGGCAGTCAAAGGTTTAAAGATAAATAGGTAGTCAAAATTTGAAGTTGCGTTATGATTTATTATTGTCATCATAATCACCATCTAGGACCCGTCAATTTATAACCAAATACCTCTCCCTTAGTCTTTAGACTAGTGTGTTAACACTGATTCCATAAAAAACACGCATTACATTATAATGTACTTATGTATCCCCGAAATATTTTCTACAGTCAGTAGAATTGAGAATATACGTATTACCTCTATATACCACTAACGTACCTATTACGTAATACCATATAAGTTACATGAACAATCCTGTAATTCTACATACATATACATACTTAGATGCTACATGCCAGTTCATCAAGTTAACCGAAAACTTTGGAGATCACCAAAAGAATTTCGACTTTATTGCTTATTGATAAGGCTGAATTTGAATCAGTTAGCCTGATGTCGTCGAGCATTCGTATATAGGCACTGTCTTCATAGACATATAGACCAACCAAGTTAGTCTATATAGACCAACTATATTCTTCCTAACTCTTCATTTATTTATTCATTTAAATACTAAACGAAACAATAAATTTAATATTGGTTAACATACCTAGGAAATAACTTTCGATGATGAATATCTGTCTAAAAAAGTTTCCATGCAACATTGAAGAACAACTAAAAATAATATGTGATAAAATAATCAATATTTGATTACATCAATATCTTATCAAATAAATACCATTCACCTACACAGTAACATGTTATAATATAACCATCCGATGATAAGAATGTTGCACAAGACCGCGTGAACCAGTGTCACAATTTGTTAAGCACGGCCTAAAAAAAATCATTCATTCATCTAGTTTTCTAGTTTATCTGTGGCACTCAATGCTACCAACCGAAAAAAGAAAAAATGTGATGTCATCGCTTGTGATTGGTCTAAAATTTCTAACCAAACTTTTGCATTATAAACTTTATAACAATAACAAATACGGTGAGTAATGTAACAAATGACTTACTTGATAATGTGGTTAGACAGGAAGTTTATATAACTCACAATAAATTATACTAGCAATCTAAGCGTTTAACTAGCCAATACTAGTAACACAAACTTCTCGTCACGTGTCAAAACACCTACTGACTAAAACGGACCTACTACACCGAACAACAAAAGATTCAATATTGCAAAAAAACATTTGTTTTTCAAATTGCCCTAAATATTAAATATTTATGTTCGACCGTTTCAGATATACTTAGGTATTCCGATTTTTATCCAAGTGCCGATTATAATTGACGAATTCATCATACATTGAACGATATGCAGGCTGTTTTTTGTTTAAGGTTCGTGCTGTGTTGTCAATGGAATGCAATTCGGTGTTCTGTTGAGATAACATCGTTTAAAAGTCGGTCGTTGTTAGATGGACCCAGGGGGCCAGGCCAGGTAAGTCTGATTGTCTATTCACGGGAATAATCGACTCAAGATGAATGTTTTATGGATACAGATAGAACTGTTATTTTTTATGGTTCCTTCACAGAAAACATTATAAGCCCTTGCATAATAAATTTACGATTTTATTTTACTTTAAAACCATAACGACTTGTAAGACTTAACTATATCCTGCAAAATGTAGGTCAAACGATGACTAAACAAGTTAATTAGTCGTATAAATGCATAAAATATATGCAAGTAAATAATTAGCTACTTACCAATTTGCTTGGATAACATTTGATAATCGCAACTACGCACCGGCTCGAGCATTATCGCATATCAATGTAATAATATAACATAATTTAAACAGGCGCATAAAATTTACGTAATCGTCATTTTATGCTGAAGGACGTGCACTGAAAGAAAGATAGAACATTATTTTGATTTCTCATATAAACAACTTGATAATTATATTCATCTATTTAAGTCTTATCTCTACTTGCCTTCAACTCAAGATACTCAGCCTCGATCGGACATTTTCTTCTTTGATCTTCATCATCTTTTCTTGGTCTTCTTAGCAAAATCATTTCAACGACAAGAGATAAGAGTGAGATTTCAACTCTCTCCGCTGATTAATAAATAGAAAGTCTAGATGTAGTCTAGATTCTTTACTACACTTTGGATTGGAGCCAGATTGTAAAGAAAAGAGCTTCCGTTCCGAACTAGACATAAATTTCCAGCTGTACATAATAAGGCACTTCCACGTTCAAATAATACAAGTAATAATAAAATAAAATTCCTCAAAATATGTTCAACTCCATTCAACTTCAGTAAGGTTAAAATTAATCAATTAAATCTATTAAAGAAGTGCGTGTTTTGGGGCCCTTCTAAATCACCATTATCATGCTGCAACCGGCCGTATCTGACTTTTTCTCATGACCTTCACCAAAGTCAGTTCTCCTATAGAGGCCTACCCACACTGAGCCCTTAGCCCTTCGTCACGCCTCTAGATCACAGACGAGCTTCAAACAATTTATTCGAATTGCGCAGTTTGAATTTTTTATATCAGTCTGTAGTAGAAGTTTTCATACCCGTTTTTTATTAGTTAAATTGTTGTAATATGATATAAGTAATGACGTGATGAACAAATTGTGTACAGCAACAAAATAGCGTACATTTCTTTTATTTATTTTGTTTATTATTCCTATAAGTAGCTTCCATTAAAATAGGAAGCACTTTCAGACTACGTACGATTAACAATATCGAAACCTGGATACGGAATGATACATTTATCAACATCATCAGCCGTAAGACGTCCCTGACGTCACCAGTGAGCAAACACCTCTTCCTCGTCCGTTCCCCGATGGCTGAGAACTACTGATTGAAACTAACTGGAACTAATGACCGTAATCATGAAGGGCAATCATGGAAACTAGGAGGGTCTTGAAGGGACCTAGGAAGTACAATTGGCCTCTATAAAAACTAGGGCAACGTTTCAGCCTTGTCCTAATCAAAGGTTGTTAAAGGGCACAGGATGGGAACTATGAGGGTCTTTAAGGGACATTGGAAGTTCAATTTAACCTCTAAATAAATGATAGCAAGGTTAGAATCTCTTAACAAATTAGGACAAGGCTGAAACCTTGCCCTAATATATATTTAGAGGCCAATTTATTATACTTCCTATGTCCCTTGAAGTCCCTAGTTCCCATTGTGTGCCCTTTAACCTTCGTGAGTAAGCCCATTAATTCCAGTCAATCTCAATAACGTTAGGTACTTGAATTACAATTTTGACGTATGCTTCATACAGAAGTGTGTCAAGGGTCTAGCCAAATCTATGATTATATAAATCCAAAAAAAACTAGTTTAACGCAAAAAAAAGCAGAAATTTAATTAGATACATTTTTTTTCTAGGTTTATTTTATTGTGGGATAAGCCGCTAAAAGAGCAGATGGATCATCTGATGGTAAGCAATCAGCGTCGCCCATGGACACCTGGAACACCAGAGGTGTCACAAGTGCGTTACCGGCTTTTTGGAGATTAGGAATTTGAAGAATGTTAGGGATTCAGGGATCGGGGAACGGCGGGGGTAGTTGTGCTTCCGGTAACCTCATTCAAACGACGAAACACAACGCAATCGTTGTTTTACGTCAGTTTTTGGTGAGGCCGTGGTATCACTCCGGTCAAGCCGGCCCATTCGTTTCGAAGCATAGCCCTCCTACACTTAAAAAGATTTTACACGCTATGCATAGTTTAAGAAGTTGTTTATGAAAAATAAAAAAATTGCATAAAACGCGGTGTAGGTCCATCCAAACAAGCATTGGAGCATCCCTTGGGTTGAAAATAGCGCTACCAATTTAAACGTACGGAGTATCCACGTGATTTGAACAATATAATAATAACTAGATATATAAGTGCATACTAAATAACAATTAATCAAACATTCACCCACATAGATAAACTGAAGTACAATTTATTTGCTCTTACGCGCGACTTTTGTTCAGTCTGGTTCCCACGGCCATTTTGAATGGCTATGGATAAATTTGTGGGGACTGCAGGTACCGCAGTACTTTTAAGGTACCAAATGTTTTTTTATTATTTATTTTAAGGGCCAGTGCTACAAAAATTCACATAGCATCATCATCATCTATATCAATTTGTATACAATTTTTGCTTTATCAGAGATTGGCCAAGCAAGGCTTTTCTTTTGGGGTTGTCTTGTAAAAGCTTTGCGGTAGTTATAAAATAGCTCATCACGGCGTTTGGAAATGCCTTCAACGTACGGTGACAATCTCACCCCCAATAACTATTTAATTACTTCCTATAGATTTCTAAATATAGTGAAAAGTGAATATATGCGGTGAAGATATATACGGTGAGATGATAAACTAAATAATTCTGTGACAAATAAGTCGCATATGACGCGAAAATCTTGTAGACGGAACCGTGCAACCCGTTTCATTTTTTTACTTATTTGCATGAAACTTCATAACTTACTGAGGTGCTTGCGTCAATGGAGGTCGACTTTGCATAAAATATCTACTGTGACTGAAATAAAAAATATTTAAGACTGTTGAAACAATTAGAAGTATTTTATGTAGGTTTGTTAACAGTAACTTTATCTCCAACGTGCAGCGGACTCTCTTTACTAACTATATTCGTTAATGTGAAACGAAAAACAAACATATTTTTGTATTAACAATATTAGTAAAAATTAGTTAAGTAGGCATTACTCTTGTGCATCCTTAGCTGCTTAGTTCGATAGCACAAACTATTCAATTTAATAAAATTAGATATGTGAGTATTGTGAAGTATTCTAAATTAAAATAGATTGCGCGCGACGTCCGCGTCAGTTGCCGCGTTCGCATTGAGGATCCCGGTGTAGCTGGAAACTAGTCGGATAATTTCTGAAAGATCATTTAATTTGGCATTCGTTATTATTTTAAGGTTAGATACATGTCAAAAATAGACATACGTTCTATACTACTAACTAAATAGTACCTCTAGGTATGTACATTATACAATTTATCCCAATCCCCATTCGCGTATATTGACTCGTTGAGGTCGGCCCCATAATATGACACGTATTTATATGCAATAAGCGCAATTTCCATAATTATTATCTAATCAAAAATATTATTAGGATCGTGAATAAGAATCGAGACAAATTTTTTATCAGTAACAAGTCAATGAAAACACTATTAAGTAATTTGTGAACTAAATTAAATATTTGAATCTCAATTTAGAGACAAAAAACTGGGTAGCAATTCAGTACGAGTGTATTTGCTTCAGTTGAAAAAAAACTATAAAATTGTCTTAATGCCTTTATAACATGTCGTAATTATTATAGACCACTTTTACCATTACAATTAGAGAACAAGGCCTTCTAAAACTTTGAAGTACTTACGTCTTTAAAAGGGGGAGATCCCTGTGTACGACTTAAAGATATGCCTACTAGTTAATGCAATATTAAATATATTTAATTTTTATTTTAAATGCGATATAAAGATCGAGCATGTATACAAAAGAGTTAGGTTGGGGGGAGCGCGAGACGGACGGGCGAGGTCGCGCGCAGTGGCGGGCGCTGGCGGCGCGAAGTGTGAAGGCCGGTCAGCGGCCGAGCTGCTGTTATGTTATCGGACCAATCATAACGATCTACTCACTTATGCACTATCCACTAATGCAAAGCATTAGCTCCACCACGTGCCGCTGATTTTATTAATTATTACGAGACGCAATTACGCGCACAAACTATAATTGATTCAATAATTATATTCGCGCACAACAGGCACTACCAGGCATAGCCTCCGGTCAAATTCACTACCGTGCTCTTAGGAATGTTAAACGAAAGATTAATTGAATAATTGCTGACATTCTACAAATTAAAAGTTACTAGCAGTCTAGGTCACACGTAAAAGTTGTCTTACTTATACCTCATTCGATTTGTTCAAAGAAATGATTCAACTAGGTATATTCGTTTTACCTTGTTAAAACCGCAGACACCTGATTTAGTTAAGAAATCATTAACTTGTCACCCAATTGTTAAATGGAATGATTTTTTATAAGAAATAATAAAGGCGGTGCAATTTAGGTAAATTCCAATTCAAGTTTATTTAGATAAGTGAATTCAATATCGTGGAAATACTATCCAAATATTAGGAGCTTCTCTTGCCTGTGATACAGAATTGTCCTAGTGCAGTTCAACTTTGTGGGGTCCATTGTACTTACTTAAGATATACATACCATCATCGGTTTTTTGCATTTTTGAAATATGAATAAAGATTAATTTTATAAAGTTTTAAGAAACTTCCAAGTTATCAGTTTACGAGTCATCAATTTAACAGCTCTGTTCACCACAGAACTCAAAACATAACAAAGTCAAAAAAGAAGAAAACCCATGCGATATAAATGATGGTGCGATCCTTACGCTGACGCCCATGCCATAAATTAATATACTAACGAGGCTTTTTATTAAATGTTACCTGCTCGTGTATGCATTTTATTTAATAATGAAA